TGAATTAACTTGGCTCTGCAGAGATAATTAACCGTGCCCACTAAACTTAATTGAGTTGCCAGTTTCCAAAAGTTTGTTAACCAGCCCAACTAATGAATATTCCAATACTCTCAGCTTTGTTAGCCACTGCCAAAGCATCTGCAATTAGCCGCGGAGCAACAATAGTTTTGCATACATTTCTTGAGCGGCGTGAAAAGCCGGTGAGGCAATCGCAGTTACAAAAGTCTGGCGGGGAAACAAACGAATAGCGGCCCCCACGCACAGACGGCAATTAACTGGCACACAGACACCAAAGGTGCACTGGGAGAAAAGTATGCGTCATAGATGTATTTATGTTTCATGATACCACTCTAGCTACTTGTTGGAATGTTTTTGCCTCAGCGATGCCTTGAATGATTTCTAGACACCTAATACTCATAAAATGCTCTTTCTTTTAGTGTAGTTACATGTACACTGCGATTCACAAGAGTAATTTGTGCATTTGACGCGAGGATGCCTGATGAACATATGCCTGAACATCAGACAATGAAGTCATGTGGACAGACCGCCGACTGATGATCGCACACGTGTGGCAGGAAAAGCAAGATGGGTTTTCCATGGGAAAAGGGAGAAAAATCGTTCAATGTGTACTTGATGGGCACCAGAATCTCCAGATTGCGCCAGACACAACAATAGCGCAGACTAAGTGGACAAACCAAACTAATTCTTATTTATCAAAGTCAATGGCTAGACTGACACACATAGCGGCTGATAAAGAAGCTGGCACAGGAATTATCAAACATGAATGAAAGCAACTTTTTGTGCGCCGAAGTCAGTGTGCTCTTGCACTTATATTCGCCTAATCAAGCTTGATATTTCCGCAATTTTAAAAGACCGATTAAATTATATTAAAACAAGAATGGATGTGCAGGATACCCTTTTATTCGTAGTAACCTGTATGCATGAATACACGTTAACATTGAAAAAGCGACTACAAATACTCTTCACTCTATTTAAGTATATTTCGGCAGGTTATGCCCCAAATTCGATATACCCATGCAAAAGAGAGGGTATAGCAACAGAACGACAACACGCGCTGAAAGCTAACAGCACCGCTCGCTGTTATCTAACAGCAGTAGAGAGTGATCGCCGCTGTTTAGAACAAAATGTAACGGTTAAACGCCGCGTGGGAGCAGCCGGCACTCGGATATTTTCATTTTCGAGCGTTTTCGAAAATTTCTCTACCGATCAGTTTTAAAAGACACGCCAAACAGTGCGAAACGTGCTCGATCGCTGCGGAAGAGCAAATTAAGTACAGAACCAAAACAAAAGTTCCGCAGTTCGCGTTGTTTGAATTGAACACAAAAGTAATATTTAATTCATTTCAAAATAAACAAACAGAAATCGACACAAAATGCACAGCAAATTGTTGGACGAGGTGGGTATTCACATTCAATCAATCGATGGATCGATCGATTTTTCCATTACCGTATATCTATTTCGGAACCCAAAGTATTATTTATTGAAGGCACTTTTAGTTAGTCATAATCATCCTGGGATGACTTGTTCGCAAAGAGTCATCGTGTTATTTACAACCATCGGCATCATAAACATTTCGTTGGCTCGGAAAATTCAATGTAGGAAAAGCTTTCTTTTGTTGCTGTGCAGAATAAAGAAAAGACAAGGAAATTTTTGCAGATTGAGGAAATGTTTTCAGATTCTGGAAACATCACCCATTTGGTTAGGCAAAACACAGAACAACAACTCTTAACACCAGACTAGTTTCCAAACAACGTGTGTGGCTCATAATAACGATCTGGTGGGTTAATTATGGTTTAGAATAGTTTGTTGGCAAACTGGTTTGCGCTTGGTCAGCTTTTTGATTGAATTGAATAGTTAATTCAGCATACAATTGATTAATGACGTTGAAATAGATTTACTAAGGCTTTAAAATTTTATTTAATTTTAGCTAAAGCTTTTCGTACATATTTTGTATTATTTTTTAAATATAAAAATATGTTTTGTTTTAAATGTCAGGGCGCTCCTAATCAATCAGGATTTTCTCACTGTACGCCCAAGTTCTAGTTCAACTGGCCATTACTCAACATGTGGATTACACATTAATGCAAACAAGCTTCACTTCAAGCACCTGCCATTATCAAATTCAGCGCGATTACAAAATCAGCTGGCTCAGCATGTTATATGACAAACAGTGAGCATACGTGATGAATGCAGTTGCTGGTTGGCGACCCTCTGGTGTAATTTTCCATGAGCACGCCTTTGTAATGGAGCCCCTACATATATGGTGCATTGTGCATAGAGCACCAGCCGGAAAATGGCCCCACTTTCCTGCACCCACTTTTCCGATGATTTAGTTAGCGGTTCTGTAGCGTCAGATCGACAGCTGACCCCATCTCTTGCGTCTTTCGACTTTCGATCACTTCAGGTGATTTTGCGGGCTGCCTTTGAGTCACGGCGCCTATTTTTACTCTCGTTTTTCACTTTCAGAATTCTCGCTCAAGCAATTTAAATTTATTTAATTTAACCACACTCATGCCACCAGGAACCGGGAGAAAGAGTGGGAGAGCACCCACAACAAAAGTGATGTGTTTACCAAGCCGAAGTGGCATTGCTCTTCCTGAAGATCGCAGTTTCGCATAAATCTAAGGGAGTTTGATTGTGCAACAAAGCACACATTTATCCGTGTTCAGATGCCACTTTGAGTAGCGTTCTCCACCATGACCCTTCTAAAATATGCATTAGAACCAGAGAATGTGTGAATTTTCAATTTAACGTTGACTGATTTCAGTGAATGAGCACGGATTTCGGTTCGTGGATTTATGTCAGGCAGAATCATTATTTTGACGAGCACCGGAATTTGTTAATTAGCGAGCGTTGGGAAGGTGAACAAAGTGAACTAGTGCACTGCGCGAAAAATATCAAAAAGAGCACTCCTTATATGTTCAATGTAATCGTTGAAGGCAGTGACAAACAGTGTGCCTGCAGTTTCCTTAATTGTGGAGTTAATTAGTAATCTTCTGCACTAATCTTCTTCTATTCTGCTGTGATAATGGTGTAATACCCCTGAGTAGGAATTGCAAGCGCGTGCCCATTATGCAGTCGGTCAATCGGTCAGTTGGTGCGATAATCTCCAGCCCCCGTACAGTCCGTACAGTCCGGTCAGTCCGGATTGAGATTGCCGGATCCGCCAGACCAGACGGCGCAGGCGATAAGCGAAATAGCTTAAAATGATTATTCCTTGGGTTGAGTTGAGTTGAGTTGAGTGAGACCTTCACCCGCTTTCCTACTTGCAGCTGAATGAAAACGGCTACATTGTCATCGAGGACTTCCTCACTGCCGAGGAAGTGGACACGCTGTTCCACGCGGGAAGAGCTCTGTGCCTGGATGCTCCGCAGAACAACCGGAAGATCTTCAGCACCATTAAGCAGGAGGATGCGCAGGGAAAGGAGCTGTACTTCATGGAGTCGGGAGACAAGGTGCGTTACTTCTTCGAAAAGGGCGCGGTGGGCGATGAGGGCCAGCTGCTGGTGGATCCCATGATCGCCCTCAACAAAGTGGGACACGCCCTGCACGTGGAGCATCCGGCCTTCAATGCCATCACCTTCAGCAACCGGGTGCGGGAGATCTGCTGGCAGCTGAACTACAATAAGCCAGCCGTCTGCCAGAGCATGTACATCTACAAGAATCCCGGAGTGGGTGGCGAGGTCACGCCCCATCAGGACTCGTGGTTCCTGCACACGGACCCCAACTCGGCGGTGGGCTTTTGGCTGGCCCTCGAGGACTGCACCCTGCAGAACGGCTGTCTGCAGTTCATCAAGGGATCCCACAAGAGCGGAGTCCACAGGCGCTACCTCCGCAATCCCGACAAGGATGCCAGCGAGCTGATGGTCTACGACCGGGCTGCTCCCATTTATCCGCAGTCCAGCTTCACGCCAATGCAAGTCAGCAAGGGTGAGTTCATAAAATACTATTTATCATGAATTTAAAGTACTGCAGAGTAGTAGAGCTTTAAAATATATCTTAATGGGGCTTAAGTGGGATGTAAATATTTCGTTGGCTGCTTTTTATCAGACCAAGTGATTTTTTATTTTTGGCCTTGTCGCACGATGAGTTATATTTGTGGACTTTTCATATAGTTATTAAAATGTGGCATTTCATTTTTCCCAGGCACTTGCATTCTGATCCATGGAAATGTGGTGCACAAGAGCGAGCCGAACCGCTCGCAGAAGAGTCGCCACGCCTACACTTTCCACGTCATCGAGACTGAGAACAACGTCAAGTATTCGGAGGACAATTGGCTGCAGGCGCCGAAGGATAAGCCATTCCCCGTCCTCTTCGAGCGCAAGTCCTAAGCATCTGGTGGGGATCATGATTCGGTATTTTCGCACATAAGACTAGTGACTCCTTAGGTTCCGTCGTACACGCCAAGATGTATGATGTAATTGTAAATGTAAAGAATAAACTTCCTACTGTATTACAATTTGAATTTAAGCTGGGCTCACGCGGGCGCAAGCAGTAGTCAAGCAGCAGCCAAGCAGCACTTTTGACTCGAGTCAGTGAGCAAGCAGTTGCTGGGAACAGATGGCAGAGAGCGAACGAGCGAGCTGTAACTACAGTACTAATCAAATTTGAACGACACCGAAGGGGAACGAAAACACGGCCAGGGTACAGTAAATACACAATAAAGGCGAAAGTGAACTAAACTGAAATTATCGTGTCAAGTATTGGATATACAATCTAAGCCTTATGACTGAATATGTTTTATGCATGTAATATTAGAATGGCGAGACCCCGATCGCTGACAGCTCTTCCTGATTAGAACTGCTGTGACGTAAACGAGTTTTCCACAATCCGAAACGCTCGTCCACAATTTGATAAAACTTTCTGTGTACGCGCCCGTGGGTCGCGTTGGCGTTACGATCGCCGAGAGATAAGCCTATTAGTAGTAGTAATAGGCCACTGGCCCATTAGTAGTAGTAGTGGGGCACTGGAACTGGACTCCGGACACTAGCTAACACAACTCAGTATGCCGCCAGCTGTCAGTCGCAGCAGATCGTGTGTGGGAGTGAAATGGCCACCAGCAAGTGGGAATCCGATGAGGAGATACAGTACTTCCGCGAGTATCTGCGCATCCCCAGTGTTCATCCCGATCCGGACTACGGTAGGTATCTGCGTGATGAGCTGCCATTTACGCGAATAGCAAGTGTAGAAGATGTAGGCAAATTGAGTGCGATTTGACAGATACTTACGCTTACCTCCATAGCACCATGCGTCGCATTCCTAAGGCAGCAGGCCAAGCTGATGGATCTGCCAGTGAAGGTGTACTATCCAGCAAACGAACAGAATCCCGTGGTGGTTTTGACGTGGGAAGGCCTCGAGCCCGAGCTGCCCAGCATTCTGCTGAACTCCCACATGGACGTGGTTCCCGTGTTCCCCGAAAACTGGACGCATCCACCGTTTGGAGCCGACATCGATGAGGAGGGTCGCATTTTTGCCAGGGGAACACAGGACATGAAGTCCGTGGGAATGCAGCACCTGGCCGCCATTAGAGCGCTGAAGAGAAGTGGAGCGAAGTTCAAGCGAACCATCCACATCTCGTTCGTGGCGGGTAAGTAAACCATACGAGCTATTCCATAATACACCTAAAATTCCATGCGGAACTCTGTGCACTTAGATGAGGAAATGGGCGGTCGCTTTGGAATGCGACCTTTTGTGCCCACTGATGACTTCCGGGCTCTCAATGTGGGATTTGCAATGGACGAGGGATTGGCTTCACCCGATGAGCACTTTCCGCTGTTCTATGCAGAACGCGCAGTTTGGCGTAAGTTAGGGGGAATCAGGGAAAGCCCGGAGCTCTGCTACATATTTGCCACTTCGAACAGGTGTAATCTTCAACATCAGTGGAAACGCTGGTCACGGATCGCTTTTGCTGCCCAATACTGCCGGCGAAAAGCTGAACTATATAGTAGGGAAGATGATGGAGCTGCGCAGGACTCAGGTCCAGAGGCTGCGCAATAACCCAGAGTTGGTCATTGGCGATGTAACCACCATTAACCTGACCAAACTTGGCGGCGGCGTCCAGAGCAATGTGGTGCCTCCTTCGCTGACGGCCTGCTTCGACTGCCGTTTGGCCCTAGATGTGGACTTCCAGGAGTTTGAGTCCAATGTAGGTGCTGTGCTCATCTTGCATGTGGCCTAAACTAACCTCTGTGCCCATTAAAGCTCCACAAATGGTGCGACGATGTGGGTGGGGGCATCGAGATCACCTACGAACAGAAGCAGCCTAAGGTTCCGCCCACCGCCATCGATGATACTAATCCCTTCTGGCTGGCTTTCAAGCGAGCCACGGATGAGCTGCAAGTGTTCTTATCTAAGTACGAGAGCCCTGCTTATCACGGCCTTTTTGTTCTTTCAGGCACCTCTCCATCAACCCACAGATATTCACGGGTGGCACCGACAGCAGATACATTCGTGCCGTTGGCATCCCAGCCCTGGGCTTCTCCCCCATGAACAACACGCCTGTGCTTCTCCACGATCACGACGAGTTCATCCAGGCGGACGTCTATCTGCGCGGTGTGCGGATATTTCAGAGCATTATTAGCAGCGTGGCTGAGGCCTAGTTAATGCCTTTATATATCCCTATATATATTTTTGTTGCATATGATAACATCCTGAGAGATGTACTTGGCAATCCACTTGTTTGTGATGAGCTTGCTTCAGATTAGACTCGTGGCGGAGATAAAACTAATAATAGATTAATAAAAACTTTGGGGACAAGATGTCTCTTTAGATTCAGTTATATCCGTGCTTTAGATAGGCACACAATGGCTGCTAAGAACTGGGAGACCGACAAGGAGATCCAATATTTCCGCGACTACCTGCGCATCCCAACTGTGCATCCGAATCCTGATTATGGTGGGTTTCAAAATATTATCTGATTAGTACAGGAAAAAGTACTTTAAATGTTCAAATTACGTTGTTTGCACTAGAACCCTGCGTAGAATTCCTGAAGCGTCAGGCTGAGGACTTGGATATACCCATTAAGGTGTACCATCCTCTCGATAAAGAAAATCCCGTGGTCGTCCTGACCTGGGAGGGCACTGAAAAGGAATGGCCCAGTATCTTGCTGAACTCCCACATGGATGTAGTCCCCGTATTTCCCGAGAGCTGGACCCATCCACCATTTGGGGCAGCAATCGATGAGGAGGGTCGCATTTTTGCCAGGGGATCGCAGGACATGAAGTGTGTGGGAGTGCAGTATTTGGCAGCCATCAGATCGTTAAAGGCCAGAGGATTGAGATTCAGGAGAACCATTCACATGTCGTTCGTTCCAGGTAGATAACCCTTTAAACAGCAAAATATCATTTAATGATTTCCTCAATTAGATGAAGAGCTAGGTGGGCGCAAGGGAATGATGCCTTTCGTTCGTTCGGAGGAGTTTAAGACCCTGAATATTGGCTTTTCCCTGGACGAGGGAATCGCATCTCCGACTTCAGAGTTTCCCGTTTTCTATGCCGAGCGAACGTCGAAAGGTAAGAAAAAGTGAATATACCCGGCAGGTTAGGACTATCTCAAGGCTGTTTTCAGGTGTTATTTTCAAAGTCAGTGGGCCAGCCGGACATGGCTTGCTTTTAATGCCCAATACAGCTGGCGAGAAGCTTAGTTATATAACTAACAAGATGATGGAGTTCCGAGCGAGTCAGGAAAGGCGCTTGAAGGATAATCCGGAGTTGCAGATTGGCGACGTCACCACCATTAACTTGACCATCGTGAGTGGCGGAGTCCAAAGCAATGTGGTGCCACCCTTGCTGACCGCCGTTTTTGAAGCGCGGTTGTCCTTGGATCTCAAAGTCTCCGACTTTAAGGCTTATGTGGGTATAGCCAAGCTCAAACTTCATTAGATTACTAGGATGATACTCCCCTTCTAGTTGGCGAACTTGTGTGAAGAGGCTGGCGGCGGCATCGAGTTTGAGTTCCATTCAAACCGAAGGAAGGAACACATTGCTCCCACTGCCACGGATGAATCGAATCCCTTTTGGGTCGCCTTCAAAAGTGCCACGGATGAGCTGTGAGCTTGGAGTAATCTTGGACGTAACATTATTATTTATTGCTTATTTTTCAGAGGTCTGAAGACCAAACTTCAGGTCTTTCCTGGTGGCACCGATAGTCGCTACATTCGCGAAGTAGGCATTCCAGCATTGGGATTTTCTCCCATCAATAACACGCCCGTTCTTTTGCACGACCACGATGAGTTTCTTCACGCAGAAACGTACTTGAGAGGTGTTGAGATATACGAGAAAGTTATTGAAAAATTGGCCAACGTTGACAATTAATTTCCTCTAAACTAAGCCTGTTCATGAAGAAATGTAAATGTTTTCGTATAAACATAAATACAATTTATTACAATATTCAACATTTTTTATATACACTTCCACTAGCTGAGTAACGGGTATATGATAGTCGGCGAACTCGACAATTGCATTCTATCTTGTTTTAAAATTTAAAGGCGAACATTTTACATCGTAAACAATTACATACACGAACATTTATTAGAACAGATGTCAAATGTAGTATTGGTGAGTGCATCGGCTATGTTAAGCGCATGCTCAAACACGGAGCATAACTGGGCTAAAGCAAGGACAGAAACCATTTATTTAGTACTTCAAAGTCGGCGGTTGAAGTTGAATATGACTACTTTTCAACTTTTTCATTGAAATAGATATTAAATTTTGTATGTTAAAGAAAAGTTTGATAAAATAGAAATAAAAAGTTGTTGTATCTGTAGTGAAGATACATAAAAATGTTCCTAACCACTTTATATTTTTACCAGAACACTAGATCTACGCGATGAAGTCGGTTTTTGAGAAGCTTTCGAAATATCACACCATGTTTTAACTCTTAGTCAAATAAACTCGAAATAAACCAAACCTGGAATTAAGGTCCAGGGTTTTAGCTTTCGCTGCTATATATTGGTGAAAAGACATCAAAATTAAGAAAAACGTTTAAGCACAAGATTCAGTGCGGAAAATGATATATAGTGTGGATTAATTTTGGGCTTTGAAGCACATTGAGTTATGAAAACCAGATCATAACTATAAGATCAGAGTTCAAAGCCACAATTTCGATCCAGCCTAGCCAAAGTCGAGCAACATACGTGCATGCTATGCTCCACCTCCGGCCAGGAAAGTGCCCCGACCTCAGGATACCCACCTGGCAAGTGTCCCCAGCCATAATTTTGTAGTTGGCCAACTTTTTGCGGCTCTTTTGCTGCGGGTCTTTTGTTGGCCGCTGCTGGGCTGCTGGCTGCTGGGCTGCTGGCTCTTACGTGTAATGTTCTCCCATGTTGCAAAACGATTTGTTGGAGCCAAGATTTATGAACTTGTTCCCACTGACAGTCGACAGTGGTTAAGGTAACACACACGGCAATCTGCGCGCGTGAGTGTGCGTGTGTGTGTGTGTGTGTGCGTGAACATGCCGCCTAATTAGAAGATTTTAATTATCTGTTTTCAATCAGCTTCCATTGAGATAACGACAATGCTGCCGCAGCCTTGTTCTTGTTGGATTTCGCATCTTTTTCGGCCCCCGTCTTGCTTCGTGGTGGATTTTTTCTGATTTCCCTCTTAGCCACTACTTTGCGTCCGCTTAAGCCAAAATGCTGTTGACATTTCGCTGGCAGCGGCGGCCTGGTCAGCCCCAGAATCGCAATTTGGCAAGGTGTTGCTGGTATCGCGGCCACGCGCATGCTGCCAATAAGCGCTGTCAAAGTGTCCTAAATCGATTAGAATGGATTTTGAAGGGACGCTGACAGGCCAAAGCGGACCCGCGAGCAATCATCCGCGATACAATGGCGCGGATTACAGTTGTCTGTCGTGTCCTATGGACTGCCACTCCCACCCCAGCCCGCTCGTCAGTCCCTGCATCCTCCTGCCCTCCGCCTCCGGCCGGATTGCGTGTTTAGGCCAAGCGGAGAGGCGATGTTGCTGTCATTGACGATTTATGTCAACTGCCGCCGCGGCACAATATTCAAATTCTTTGCATTCACTCATCACTTGTCGCCGGCGAGCCGCCTGTCCCCCGCTGTCCCCCGCTGTCCTCGCCGCTCGTGAGACGCTTGTCAGGGGTGTCCTTGGAGGGGTCCTTTTGGGGGCAGGGTCCCCCCAAGCCTGAAACCAGTGGTCCTAGGGAGGGTCATCGCTTCCTCTTAGGGTTTGCTGAAACTAGCAATAGCTGGCTGAATCAGCACCCCCTGGAAACTTACTGCTCACCACGCCTTTGGAGGAAGCCGAACGCTTTGAACTCTTAAATCACTGGGCTGCAAAATAATGAAACACGAAATACCTGGCGAGGGCTGCTTGAGAGAAAGTAGGCGATACATAACTTTTAAAATGTTACTAGGCGTTTTGCTTACTCGTAAATACCAGGAAGCAAGTTTCCCTAAAATATGACACATGTAACATTTCTCTCTTCTCAGGTTGCAGATGATTTCTGGTAACTTTTCAACCCACCCACTGGGCAGCTCCTTCCCCAAGCACAGCGCAGCTCATCTCCACCTAGTTAACTCGCAAATTGAATCCAAACTCAAAATTTATTTAACTCTAATGGATTTGGCAAGCTGAGTGGTTGCCCCGCCCCACGAAAAGGGACGCTGGTCGGTTCATCTTATCGAAACTTTGTGGAATACTGGATTCTGTATGTCTGGAATCCCGAGTCTGGATTCTGTATTCTGTATATCTGGTGGCCGGCTCGCGCGTTTTCGCCACGCCACTTTGACTCCGTTGTGTTGCCTGATTTGACAGGATTCATTGTCTCCGCCACTTCAGTGACTTCAAGCTTACGCGCCTTCCCCGCCGTCCTGGCCTTCTGCAGCAGAAGGAACCGTCCTGAGAACCTGAGCTGGATGCGTATTGACAGTTTAAATGCGTCCATCACTTGCCTGAACTCGGTGCGCGGCCGACGCTGACGGAATTCATTTAAATACATTTCGGCCCCAAGGGGCTGGACAGGCCCAGTGGCATTGTTGGCCCGAGGTTTAGGACACTGAGAAAAACACAAGTGCAGTTACAGAAGGAAATGCAGTGCTTTGCTCTCAGTCTCATGGGGCACTTACATATGGCAGTGCTATTTATGTTTTCTACACCCAAGAAACAGTGCATCTGATTTGTAAAAAGTTCAGTCGGGCATTCGTTTCCTGAAAATGTTTTTATATGGATCTGAAATGGGATTTTTTCGAGTGCGCTGGGAAGTAAATTGGGCCGCGTCAGAGCCAATCGAATGGAATTTATATGCGGCGCATTTTCGTGGCCTTTGATTGACTTGTGTCACTTTGTCTCATTTGTCAGACGAACGCCTTCGACCAGGCGGGATGTTGGATAGCTGGACGCCTGGATGGCTGGATGCTCATCATCCCTCCTCCGATGCTGGCGCTCAAGTGTCAGGTGTCTCACTTTGGGCCGCTCAATTGAAATGTTCGGGCGGATAATTCGAGGACGAGGGCCCAGTTCTTTGTGGCAACTAAATGACACGAGTCTGCATTCAAATGCCCATCAAGTTGTTACACAGTCGAGCGGGCAGCGCGTATCCTTTTGGGCAATATCCTGCCGCAAAGCGCAACTCTCGAACATGGGATTTATGACAGCTGAATGGGTGGAGTGGGCCAGCGGAAATGTCCTGCCTGCTAACCGGAGATATGTTTCATATCCGCAACACGATGGCCAACTAACGTGCGAGATTTCCACATTCGCACTCGGATTACCATTGCCATGTCCATTCACTCTCCGCTCCGCTCTCCAGCACCCGTGACAGCCAAGATTTGTTTGTTTGGCCACGTCCAGGCCAGGTCTAGTCGTCCTAACCCAAAAGGGTTCCGCGTTCAGATAATGCCGCACGTCTGATTGAAGCGGGCCTCCATTGGCATGTCCTTCAATCCGCCTGACAGCCGTAAACTTTTATCCCCCAGATCCTCAGATTGCTTGTTTTTGCATCCGATTCCATTGATGCCACGGCTGCCACTGCTGCCACTGCCCCTCCTGTTAACATGGCCATTAAGAGTGGCTGGTCGCAGAAGCACTAGCCAGGGTGTTCAAAGTCCCAGCCGCCTTCGCCCGCCGGCCAAGTGCAATTACTAGCCAAAAGGCTGCCATTGTAGCCGCTCCAGGATTGGCCAAGATCCCATTGTCTCGCTGCATCATTCACGGTTGCTTCAGCAGGAAAATCAGCCATTTGCACATCATTTTAAACATAAAAACAACTGCTCTTGAAGAAATAATGTTCAAGTAATGTGCACAAATACAAGGCAAGAGCTGAACTACTCTATTTCTTAGGCGGATTGTGGCGCTGCCTATTCCTGCGCGATAATCTTTTGTTTCCTGCCAAAGTTTGGCTGCTGTGGAACACATAAATCGCGGCGTGAATGAATTAACATATCAAGATCGGCCGAACCCATCCGCGTAGCCCCGAAAATCGTTTCAAGTTGCAGCCTTGATTTAGATAATGCAAATCGCCGACCACTTGTTGCAATTATGATTGCGCCAGGAGTCTTGGTGGCCAGCTGCCCCTTGGAGTCGCGGATCTCGGAACGCCCAGAGGTGTAGCCAGCTCGATGGCAAATTGAAAGCCAAATGCAACTGGCTAAGACGCCCCCGAGCAACACGCCCATGCGCCGACTGCGAGTGGCAAGATGCACAGGAAAAAACTTGTATTACAAGCTAACTTGCTGACTGATGAAGAAGAAGGGAACCATTTTCATGCCAAATAAGACTTTTTCTGTGCTTCTTTATGGAGAACCAGCAGCTATTTTATACGATTAGCACAGCAACCTAGTACATCAAAACCTATTGTAACAAAAGAGCTTAGCATCTTGTATTTACTTGCCCAGTGAATACAAAACCTTTTCACATGTAGCAATATGCATAGTTTCATTGACAGTTTTAATGAATTTGAACTATCTTTTTCCACATGTAGCGAGCCAGGAGCTTGGTATTTGCCACAATTGCCTGGCACTTTGTAACTGTCGGCGGCTATTAAGCGACTCATTTTTCGCGGTGCTGCACTATGTGGGCATGCAAATGCCATGCCCCACTGGCTGCCAGACTCAGATTCATATTCAGATTCAGATTCGGATTCGGATTCGGATTCGTACTCGGATGCAGATACAGCTGGGCAGCTGCTGTAGGACTGCAACCCGAAGGAAAGGTTGCGTAATTTGTTCGAGGCGGCACAGTTTTTGATTTCCTTCAAATTGGCCAGCGTCGCACAATCAGGCGGTCAGCAAAAGCCGAAAGGCCGCTTTGGCCAATGGCCCCTGGAATTGAATTCAAATTTCAATGCAATTTTGCATATCCGAGCGCAT